TTTTGGTACTATTATATACTTTTATAAAACTAATTAGAAGACTACCTTAAGAAGTGTTCATTAAGAAGGTGCAATATTTTCATATACAGTGTTATAATATTTGGAATTACATGTTGTGATGATTACACAATTTAAATACCTATAAAATTGTATTTCATTCAAAACATATTTCTATATACATGAAATTTTATATGCCTATTTACAAGATTGTAATTGCAATTAAGTACTTATTGTTTAAGTGTTATGTAAATGTTGTTATATTATACATCAAAAATATTTAATACGAACAAAAAATATATACAGAAAGTATAGACTTTTGACATGCTTCACAATTTATAATTAATTTTAATAACCAGTGCCACGTACCAATATCCCCTTCTTCTTCCTCAAATATTTAATATCTTTATGTTCCTAAATGTACGTCAATACATGTATGTACAAAATTGAAAGTAAATAGATATCACGCTACTACTTGAATATTTGGAAGGTCAAAATACATGCGTATGAAAATTACCCTTGTTCCAATTGCGTTGCAGAGACTTGATTCCCTAAGTTAATTTGCTGCGAAAATATTGCTTGACCGCTGTTTTGCGATGCAGTGGTGTAAGTCAAAAATTGCTGAGAACCATTACCACTGTTATTTACGTCTTCAACAACTAATTGAACACTTCGCCCATCTAGAGAACATATTCTCTCTACTTCTTCAAGCGTTAATGTACCACTGGCATTGGTCACAAAATTATAATACTGTGCCATATTATTCGAGACTTAACTGCTTGCAAATATGATCTTTTATCAGTCAATGCAGTTTACTATTAAATTGATTAATATCACTACTATACAGGATTACACCAGTCCATCAATATCATATCTGTAGAGCAACGAATTAGAGTATCTGCTCAATAAAACCTATTAAAAATAATTTAAAGTTATTTATCATTTCTATTTCCATAGTATATTATTTGACAACTTAGGTAATATAATTCAGTAGAAAACGGAAATAGAAGTGTATAAACAAATCTTAAAAAGAAAGTAGAATGATGCTAATAAAAAGATTTGATACTTTTGTTATTAAGTCACTTTNGAGTATCTGCTCAATAAAACCTATTAAAAATAATTTAAAGTTATTTATCATTTCTATTTCCATAGTATATTATTTGACAACTTAGGTAATATAATTCAGTAGAAAACGGAAATAGAAGTGTATAAACAAATCTTAAAAAGAAAGTAGAATGATGCTAATAAAAAGATTTGATACTTTTGTTATTAAGTCACTTT